GATTGTGTTTTCTGTTTCATTGCTTGTAATTCATCTGTTTAAATCATGTATATCCTCCTGATTCAGTTTGGGTAGTTTATATGTCTGTAGAATGTTGTCGATGTCTTCAAGATTTTCTATTTTATTGGAATATAAATTTTAAAAATAGTTTCTAATTATCTTCTGTATTTCATTAGTATCCATTGTGATATTTCCTTTTCCATCATATATTTTAGTAATTTGCATTTTCTCTCTTTGTGAGTGGGGCAAGGGGTTGATCAACTTTATGATGACATGTATTCTTAATGCTCAAGAAATCTGTGTAATGATCCAACCCCACTAACCCAGAACCTTACTTGTTTCACTTGTGGTCAAGGCACCTTGAGGCTGGAAAGGTTCACATGTGCCCAAGACAACTAATGCTATATTAGTGGCAGGGCCACAAACTGAGTCTAGAATCAACCCCAAGCACTCATCTTTCTTTCTGTGTATGAGGGACATAGTAGTATCTCCTTCAGGGAATGCATGATCTGTCGTCTGCCAACATGTCTAGTGTGATTCCTGCTTTGTACATTCTGTATCTTCTTCTTGCAATGTTCCCTGTCCCCATTTGTCTTCCTTGAAAGCATTTATTAATATTTCAAGCCAGATTATCACTCGCACTAGGGATCCTTCTCCACCTACCCACCACCACCCCACCTTCCATCAGTTTCTCTCTTTCCTGCTACATCTATTCCCTTACTGATTTATTCAGCAACTAGTGGTACCAGGCACTAAGGTAAACAAAAGTTGTCTACCAGTGAACAGGACTGAGGAACTCCCTGCCCATGTGGAGCTTGTGGTCTGTTGGGGAAGGCAGCCACTGAAAACAGCAGACCCAGAGATGCATGTGTGGTTACAACTGGGATGACGGTCATGATGAAAACAGCGAGTGTTCCTGGCCCCCAAAGAACCTGGTGGAGGAACAAATGAACCTTCATGTTGTCATGTTCCAGTTTGCACATCAGTCTTCTGGGAGAGGCTGAGCTCTCCTTGATTCTCCCCAACTCTGTTTCCCTGACAGTGTGAGCACCTTGGGCTCATGAATAAGGAGGAGGCAGGGAGGTTGGCCTCTTCTCTCATCTGACCCTGTATCAAGGATAAAGAGCCTCTCATCCTGGTGGCTGCTTACGCTTTTGGAGCTCTGTGAAAGTACCTGAAAGTCCACCAGAGTAAGGAAGGAGGCTTTGGTCAGGGAGAAGGTGTGATCCTGGGATGTGAAAGCTATGTCACCTTCAGATCAGTGGTGGGGGCTGTCCTCAGATAACTTCAATGTTTGGGGCAGGGAGGTGGATCTTTGGGGATAAATTACCTAGGAACAGGGGCAATGGCCTGATCTGAGAGTATTTATACCTACACTCTTCATTCTTCTTGATAAGAGTGTATTGCATTCTCTTTAGAAGTCTCTTTATAAAGACATGAATACGTCTATAGAAAGCTTATACCCAAAAGACTTAAAATCAACATACTATAGTGATGTAGCCACATCAATGTTTATAGCATCTCACAATAGCCAAGCTATAGAACCAACCTTGGTACCCTTCAACAGATGAATGGATAAAGAAAATGTGGTATACATACACAATGGAGTATTGCTCAGCTATGAAGAAGAATGAAATATGGCATTTGCCAGAAAATGAATGTAACTATAGAGACTGTCATGCTAAGTGAAATAAGCCAGTCTCAAAAACCCAAAGGCAGACTGTTCTCTCTGATATGTGGATGCTAACCCATAACAAGGGAGGGTAAGGAAATGAAGTATAGAAGTTCATCAGATTAGACAAAGAGTAATAAAGGGAAGGGAGAGTGGATGAGGATTGGAAAGAGAGCAAAATGAATCAGTTATAACTTTCCTATGCTCATATATGAATACACAACCAGTGTAACTGTACATCATGTACAACCACAGGAATGAGATGCTAAATGGAATGGGTGAACTCCATGAACATATACAATGTATCTCTAAAAACAACAAATGAATAAAAAGACAAGATTGACAAACCCTCAGCCAAACTAACCAAAGGTTTAGAAGAGCCAAATGAACAAAATTAGAGATGAAAAAGAAAACATAAGCACACACTTTTGAAATCCAGAGGATCATTAGAAACTTTTGAAAATTTTTACTCCAATAAAATGGAAGATATTGACAAATTTCTAGCCATGTATGACCTGCCCAGAGTGAACCATGAAGACATTTAGAAAACATGAACAAACCAATATCAAGTAATGAAATTGAAACAGCAATTAAAAGCCTTCCAACAAAGAAAAGCCCAAGTCCACATAGATTCTCAGCTTAGTTTTACCAGACTGTTAAAGTGAAACTAATTCCAGTCCTCCTCAAAATATTCCATGAAGTTGAAAGAGAAGGAAGAAGTCCAAATACATTCTATGAAGCCAGTATAACCATGATACCAAAAGCAAAGACATATCAAGGAAAGAAAACTACAGAACAATATCCCTGATTAAAATAAATGAAAAAATCCCTGATAAAATCGTAGCAAACCACATCCAAAAACACATTAAGAAGATAATACATCATGATCAAATGGGTTTCATCCCAGGGATGCAAGATTGGTTCGACATGTTCAAATCAATAAATGTAATTCACCACACAAATGAATTAAGAAGAAGAATCAAATGATCATCTCAATAGATGCAGAAAAGGACTTTGATAAAATCCAGCATCCATTTATGTTAAAAACACTAGAAAAGTCAGTGATACAAGGAACTTACCTTAACATTGTAAAGACTATGTACAAGAAACTCAAAACCAACATCATACTGAACAGAGAAAAAGTGAATACATTTCCTCTAAAAACAGGAACAAGAAAAGCAGTGTGGAGATTCCTCAAAAAACTTGGAATGGAACCACTATATGACCCAGATATCCCACTTCATGGTATTTTTCCAGAAGAACTAATAAAAGCAGACTAGAGCAACATACCCTCGATGTTTATAGCAGAACAATTCACAGTAGCCAAATTATAGAATCATCCCATTTGCCCCTCAGTATTAGGATTAAGAAATTGTGGCATGTGCACAATGGTTCTTTACTTAACCAATAAAGAATAATGAAATTATGACCTTTGCCGATTAATTGTCAGAAATAGAGAATATCACGTCAAGTGGAGTAAGTGAGTCTCAGAAAATCAAGGGTCAAATATTTTCTCTCATACATGGAAAGAGAGTTGGCTGAGGGTTTGTCAATCTTACTTGTCTTTTTTTTTCATTTGTTGTTTTAAACCAAAATAAAGAAACATTGGAGGGCAGGATTTAAAAAAAAAAAAAAAAAAGGTATTTTAGCTTTTGGAAAGAGCCAAGAGAAGTAATCAGCTATTGTAAAAACTAAAAATGCACCTACACAAAGAGAATATCAGTGAGCTATTCAACCATAAGCTCAGAATTAATAAGGACCACATGATAAGACATTCACTTTCAGATTTATTTTTAATGTTAGCAAGAAATTCCTGCATTTGATGTCATAGGATTATTATTAAGATGTTTATTGTTTATTAAATTACATCCCTTAAGTTCTTGAACTGAAATGTACTTTGTAAATTTTAAGTATAATCTAAATTACAAAGGTAATTTGCAGATTTTAAATAAAATTTTGCTCTTCTTTTTCTTTTACCTTTTTTTTTTTTGTCAATTTTGGTAGAACCTTAGAAATATAACATTTCTTTTGTATCCACTTGAGTTGAAAACTTGTGATATAATTTATATATTTTTACTTTTCTTCTAAAGGGAATGGTTTATTTAAATAAAAATGAGATCATTACTAATGGAACTATTTAATTATTTAAGGTCAACTGTCCAAAATATATGGAATTGCTCATAGAAATTTTACTACTCTATACTGTTATAGTTAGGAAAACAGACTTTAATAAAATCCAGATGACAAATAGCCAGGATCTTTAACATCTTTTACTTTGCATACTTAAAGCATTTGTAATTTCCATTAGGGAGTTTTATTTATATTTATGAAATTCTTTTATTTATTCTTTTTCAATTATTAAAATAATTACACTATTTTAACTGTTTATATTTATAGGAAACATTTAATCTTGTAAAATGGAAAGTTCTATTTGGTTTTCTTCTTAGACTTAAAAAAATAATAAAATCAATAAATGTAAGGCCTGTTTTAAATAGAACTCTCTTCAAATGCATCTATCTATATCATATAAGCATGTGGAAATATAAATGGTTTTTTTATAGTTTTCATTACAACATATTATCGTACCAAAGAAATTTTAATTAAAAATCTATAAAAACGAATTCATGCATTATGCAAATTTTAATTCTATAACGATTAAGAAAAATCTTTACAAATATTGGAAAAAGAGCATTTGTCAATTTAATGAAATTGTGTGATGATTTTTTTATTACAAAAAAATATGTGGAATAGATGCTTAAATACTTGTTTTATTGGCTTCATTTGAGAGGTGGTAAAGAAATTTGGGGGCTCAATGGAGTCCTCCACATAGGTATTCTAAATTTTACCATCAGTATCCCTATACCTTTTCCCAGTGTTTCTTTTCTTTTCTTCTAAAAGTGTTCTCTTTTGGAGAGGGGACATAATTAAATTCCCTCTGGTGCCTGTGTGCTGTAGTCTACCCAGCAGCTTTGCTCCCTGGACTGTCCCAAGGTTCCTGCAGGGACAAGGAATCTGAAAAGGGCCAGAACCAAGAAGCAGGCTTGCCGCAGCGCCCGCTCAGAGCAAGGAGCAGGGGTCAAGGACCACACTGTACCAGCATCAGATGTTTCTGGTGGCAGGTGTGTGTCGGGCTGCTGTGGGTGATTGGACAGGCCAGCTGTCCCAGCCTGGGGCTTTGTGTGATAAACTCAGCTCGCTGGTCAGAAGGTTCACGGGCTCGGATTTATTCACTCCTTCACTGAGAATCGAAATTGGAAGAGGTGGTTAACTGCTGACTGAAGTGGAATTAAACCAAAATTGATTTGTCCTTTGCTATTGTGTGTTTCAGAGACTGGAGCACAAGGAAGTTTTAGTGGGCTTGCTGTTCCTGGTGTTCCCGTTCATTCCAGCCAGCAACCTCTTCTTCAGGGTGGGTTTTGTGGTGGCCGAGAGAGTCCTTTACACACCTAGGTAATTATCACAGCAATTTGCTCTTTACCAGCCCCGCCCTCCCACCCTCCTCAACCAACACCGAAGGTTCCAGAGAGACCATCCTTGGGGTGATGAGAGTTAGGTCCTCAAACAGCTCAGACTTGATCACCTCAGGCTTCAGACAGCCACACAGAAGGTTGGGTGAGACCATGCTGGTGACATTCACTCTAGTTCCCAGTGGTTCTCTGTCCATTACAACTTCACAGTTAAACTGGAATACTGACTTCAGTATATTTAGAACATTAGCTGCAGTTGCTTACCACACCATCTTGTCCAAATGTTTTATTAAATATAATTATTATAAATTTTCAGAAATATTTATTGATTTGCATAAAATTATTATGTTTATAATCTTCTTCCTTGCCCTCTCTTTTTCTTTAATTTAAAAGTGGGAATAATCTCAAGAAAATTTATCCTCAAGAAAATCCCTATGAAGCTGGGCATGGTGGCACAAGCTTGTAATCCCAGTGGCTTAGGAGGCTGAGGCAGGAGGATTGCTAGTTCAAAGCCAGCCTCAGCAACTTAGTGAGGCACTTAGCAACTCAGCAAGACCCTGTCTAGAAATAAAATATGAAAAAGAGCTGGGGATGTGGCTCAGTAGTTGAGCACCCCTGGGTTCAATCCTAAGTACCAAAAAAGAAAAAAATTGTGTGAAATAAAAGTAATTTAAAAATTATAAAGGATATTCATAGATGTATGCATATATAATGTACTTAGCTCTGAGCATGTTTGAACTGTGCTGAAGCTGGTCTGCCCTCTTAACAATCAAATGTCATTGTTCCAAGACCACTTTTCTTTTCAGATGCCCAGAAATACCATTGAAGCAGGAGATAGGCTTAGTTTTGCCATTTACCAGTTGTGTGACCTTGAGCAAGACATGATGGTTTTCTGCACCAGATTTTCTCATTTCTAAAACTGAGATTTTAGTAAACTCCATAAATTTAGTATTTTGGTCTACAATGTTGCCTTTTTGAATAGTTCATTTTTATAAAAGTTCAATAATAACTTTTATAAGTTCTATAAGAATGGATTTTTTAAAAAGGCAATATAATCCAAAATATTTTAAGAAAATCATTATTTTTGTTTATGATATTGCACTAGGAATTTAAAAACACTTTTAATTAGAAATGAGATTTATAATCTCCAATTCTCCCAAACCAAAACTATAGCTTTCCTAAGTTTATGCTTATGCAGCATTATGTTTAAACTTGGGTAGGGCTTGGCCAAGGGTAGCCTTTATTTTGTTTTAGGTATCCTAGAACAATTTGGAAAGGAAGTTATTGTTTGATAAATATTATTTGACACAGACAAATATACAGCACAATTCTTTGTATTTTGTGTTACTTACAGCTAAAAGGCTTTTGAGAAGTTGCCATACTAATTTATAGAAGGGCAAAAGGCAACATCAATCTGTGTAATTTTTTTTTAATCCCTTTTGTGGTACTAAGGGTACCACAAAGGACCTACCAGGTCCTTGCTCATGGTAGGCAAATACTCTACTACTGAGCTAAAACTCCAGCTCTCTTTTTAAATTTCATTTTAAGACAGGATCTCCCTCAGTTGCTGAGACTGGCCTCAAATTTGTAATCCTCCTGCCTCAGCCTCCCCAGAAGCTGGGATTACAGACATGTGCCACTCTGCCCAGCTGTGATGTTTTTGCTTAAGTAAGGTGAAAGTATCTTTAGTCAGCTTTTTTCTATAGTACTAATGCCTCCAGGTTCTTCATTTATCAGAGCTTATAGAGTACTTTTTATCATAAATGATATAGTAGGATCTGAGGCTACAAAAAAAAGTAATTGCAGTATCTGCCTTGAAAGAGTTCATTAACTGATGACTGACAAAATGGAGTATTTCATAAGACTTAATATTCTTTACAATACTATTCTGCTCTTTAATACCATTTTACCATTAGTTGTATTCAAGCATTTATTGAGCTTTTATCATATTTCAGTCTCCATGCTAAGGATGTTGTCATTATGTCCATTAATTCATGCTATATCTAGCGGTTCACTGCCTGCCCCATCAAGTGAGAGGGCCTGCCTTGAAATTCCTACTTCAATATCAGTGTGATTTCTCCCAGCTTCAGTTTCTTGATTATATAAAATAGGGATAATAGCAACACACAACTCAATGGGATCCTGTGATCATTAAATGAGATAACCATATACAGAACTTAGGAAGTGTTTGGCATCGTACGTGGCCAGTGAATATTAAGTAGCAGTGTTGTTGATAAACGCCGATACCATGATCATTATGTTACAGAAATGGCTTTGAGAGAGTTAATAACTCACTCGAGGTGATACAGCTAGTAAGTAGCAGAGCTGGAATGCAAATATTCTCTCCTGACTCTTGTCTCACCTTGCAGACCTTATTTCATTTTGATAGAAAGAAAAAGAAGAAAATGGAAACATAATAAAGCAATTTCAGTTCAACTCCATTTAGTGATAGAGACTTGGTATTGCCAAGAATCCTGAGATCTGAATCCTCAGGAATTTGGGGTTCTGGGTGACAGAGAATGACAAGTGCAAGGAACTGCTTTCTGAGTCCAGACACAGGAGATCATTGGTGGAGGGAGAAGGAAGGCTCTCATATTATGGAAGCCTACAGTGGCACCATCAGTAGTTTGTGGGGTGTTTTCATTAAAGTCAGGGCTTTCTCTTGCCCGGGCAGGTATGTCCTCCACACACCACCCAGCTCATGCCAGCTCAGGCTCTTCACATTTGCCATGTCTCAGTGGCCCTTCCTGTGGTACTATATATTTGTCTAGAAATAAAATGCTCATTTTTCCTAGGAATAATCTGACTTGGGTTACAATAAAATTGTTGCATATGAAGAAAGCATCAGTTTAGTTAAGAGCAAGTGCCTGCCTTTGGGAACCAATTTGGATTTGCTTCATTTGGCAAACTCAGTGAAGAGGCATCCAAAAACAGATTCAGTAAGCTAGCCTGCATTAAGAAGATGACTGTCCTTTTCTGTCCAAGTTCCTGCATCCATGTATTGCAGCGTTGTTGCTAAGCTGTCATTTCTGAGTGTTTCTCTTTGCTGCCCTGTGACTTCTGGATTCACATGCACGTCATTACCGTGCGCATCATGACTGCTGCTTCTTGTAGTGGTGTAGTCTCAGCAGATGTCCAAGCCATGTGATCAAGGAGGTGGAGGTGCTTTCCTGTTTCTGAAAGATGATCCTGGGGGACCCAGGTCATTCCACTGGGTCTGCAGTCCTGACTACGTTTGAGTGTAACCTGGATTTTGGAAACTTGGGGTGAGAGGAAGCCTAGGAATTTTTCAATGGGATGTCACATCTCTAAGGAATCCCAACCTTTCCACAGTCATTGTTGTAACTAAACTAGCAAGGGAGCGTCTTTACTTAGGCACTGGATTCCTTTTTATCTATTGTGTTGTGCAAGTGAAGTGGCCTAGATTGTCAGTAATTGAAGCCCGTGTGAACACACTGCTGTAGCTTCAGGGTTTCTAATGACTTCACCAGAACCATTTTGTAAATATTGAGCTATCTTGAAAAATGACAGACTTTTTCACAAACAGATTTTACCTAATAGTGACCAGCTGCCCTGTCTTAGTGGAGAATAGTAGATAATTGGGGATAGAACATTTGAAGTCCTCTCTAGGGCCAAGCAGAGTGGGGTGGATGCTGTGGGTCTCCTGGAGGTGTCAAAGCACTGGATAATACTTGCTTCATTTAATAAACCTGAAGATAGAATTTGACCATGATGCAGAATATCTCCTAAACCAAACTGTTTCTTCTTYCCTTATTATTTTTTTTCCTAGTTCTGGGGATCAAATCCAGGGCCTTGTGCATGCTAGGCAAGTGCTTCTACCACTGAGCTGTACCCCCAGTTCTCAACCTTTTACACAATTAGAAATCTTCTCTGCACGAATCTCCTTCTGTTGTTGACCTTGTCTTGAAACAGCCACTTTCTACCTCATTAGTGCCCAGGCTCTTTGAGGAAAATATATATGATGTCCTCACTGACATCCCTGAAAATGCAGGTCATCTTTATGCAGAAATTATGTGTTGGCTCACAAACTTTAGGGAACAATAGAATATGAACCAAAAGCTCAGCATGGAGATGTGGCTCAGTGGTAGTGTGTGTGCTTACTATGTGGGAGGCCCTCAGTTTAATTCCCAGCACCAGGAGGAAAAAAGAGGGAAAAAAGGTGAATTTTGTCTCGTTATATGTTTGTTTCAAGTTATTATGAAGCCAAATCCTGGCCTCTAGCCTAAGGTGCTCATACCTGACTGTCACAGAAGACATATCCAGCCCTACTGAAGCCTGGGTAAATCTCCTCAGTCCCAGGAGGCTGATGTGGCCATTCTACAAGAAGGGTCTAGTATGAGTCAGACTGACAGTCTCTTCCACCCCTGACTTTTATTCCTAACTAGGAAAAAACCCCTTAAATCTTCCGGCTTCTCTTCTTCCTCCAGCCTAGCCCAGAAAACACCCAAAATATAATCTTCCTCTCATTTGCACTTGGAAATCTGTGGATAAAAAGGGCAGAAACCAGCTATTTGCCTGGCACTCCCTGGTGTTTAGGGTCAGAGTTTTTACCATCAAAATAAATTGGAATAATATTTTCTTTTGGTGATAAATACCCACTTTGTGGATGTCCTTTTTGAACAGGCAAGAGAGTTGGAGGTTGAATTCATTCTTAAACAGATTTTGATCTCTGATTCTGATCCCAAGAGAAGCATATAATTTTATGGCTATCTTTTCTGTATTTTGTACAAACTGCACTAGAAGACTCCAAAGGACTGAAATTTCTGGAAATTGATGAAGCAGAAATAGTTGATGAAAGCTTTCAAATAAAGTTATATAAAGTAATTTAACATTCACCCACATGCCAGATTCAGGATGATTTATTCACTTCAGTGCCAAAGAGCAAATTCCTTAGCTACTTTAGGAAAACTTCAATGAGTAGAAAAGGGAAAGGAATAGACAGGAATTGAAGGTAGAAAAATA